TGGTATCAAAAGGTCTTTTTGTCTTGCCTGTGAGGTTCTGGGTTTCTTCCAGAGATCATCGTCCTGGAGCGTGCTGCTGTCCAGGCGGCAGAGAAAGACATTTTGTCTCGGAACAAGATCCCCACGTCGAAGCGGCTTTCCAAAAAGGGAAGCCCGATGACCTGATCAGTGATCCTGCATTGATTATGCCGATTTCCGGCGCAAAAAAGGACGGAAGTGACAGAGACACTGTTTCATCCTCTTCATTTGTACTGTCATGCTTGGACCTACATGTTTGCTTGCTAGCCCTCCAACCACCCTTCTGACAGAAATCAGTGCAAGCTGTGTCTGATTGAGGCCTGTCCTTTTGGTCGGCGGACCAGCATCTGGCAAGCACAGTGTGGTGCGATGGTTGGCAGCGGCTCAATTGCACCGTCAGAGTGGATGTGATCAGATGTGGAAAGCCGTGGGCTTTTCTTGGGTCATTTTTCTCAGTTGCCTTTCTTGGGCTAGAGTTTTGATGAATTTATTTCGCTCGCCTTAAGAATTGCTGTGCTGATGTTAAAGCAAGTGCTGGGTGTGAGGCAATGGCACATATGCCGCTCCAAGAGGCCAGGTGTATTTCTAATCACTCCGTTTTTATTCAACTCAGATGGCAAGCCAGCCCGCTTCCTTAGTTCGCCGTCTCAGTGGGTGCACGTGGAGTGTTTGACTTCTTTCTTGGGAGGTGCCACTGACCCCTGCAATGGATGCAAGTGAGCTTTTGGGCTGCTTCGAGCAGGCAGTTTCAAGCTTCAATGCAGAAAACGTGAAGCAGATTTGAAGCAAAACGGCCAAAAGGACAATGAACAGGTGTCGCTCCAGGTGGAGATATCGAATCTTTTTCCGAAGAAATCATTGAATCTTCATTTCTCCAAGTCGCGAATGTCCAGGTCGATTCTCGAAGTCTCTTGGGGCATTGGGTGCGTCATGCCCGAGCATTGGCCTATGGTCTCCAGCAAGTCTGTGAGGACTGCGACTTTCGGCTGTCAAGCTGATTGTCCTTTTAAAGGATTTCGATTTCATATGATTTACACTATTGACACGGCTCGTTTTTAGTTTTTTTTTTCTGCTTTGTTTTTCCGATACACGTGTAGGACAACGCTGCTCGCAAGGTCTTGGATGAGTGCTCCAGGCAGTCTGCAATTTTATGTGTTGCCAAGTTTTCTGATGTCCGATTCTTGTTTCTTGACAGGCTGAGTTCGGCCTTGGAGTCACACCTGGAATCCACAGTAGCATGCTTGGTCTGACATCCTCTTTGTTTGTTAGAACGACATCCTTTGACATAGAGAGTTGGTTTTGTTGTCTTTTGCTTTGTTTCTTTTTATTGTGGACTTTTGGCAGTCTTAAAATGGAAGATGCTGTTTGGCAGGTTGAGGTTTCGCAGCTTTTGACACAGGCGTTGGCACTGCAAGCACTCAAACTGTGCTGCTTCTTCAATGGTGTTTTTCAACAGAGTGATTCTGTTTTGATCCAACATTTGTTGCTTTTGGTTCTGAAGGCAGATGCATTGCTGAAGAAGTGGCGCACCTAGAATGTCTGATTGAGACTGGACATACGGACTCTTGAAACCAATGGGATTATCCAGTTAGAGTATCCAGATGATCTCTACTTCTTCTGAAGTCTCCAAAGTGAAGCAGGACATGACTTTCCTACGAATACGTCACACCTGATATTGTGCCAATAGGTTTATATAATGGTTCTGTCAGTTGCGAAATAGACATTTGAAGCAGGCTAGGACCTCTAGGAACTATATATGTATACATACATATATATATATATATATGTAGTTTTTTGTTTGTATGTACAGCCCATATATACTCCGCTAGGGTACTGCAGACACGTGACTCTTGACGTGTTTTGGCTCAAGGGAGAAAAGGCGTTCCGAAACGTCGAAACTCTGTTTTCA